ACGCCTGGTCCCCGCACACGATGGACCACGATTTCACAGAAACAGCAAACGGAGCGGGTGCCGTAGAGGCCAGATCAGGGAACTAATGCGATCTGGCCCTTCCTCTTGGGAGGAGAGTAGAGTTCTTCCTTCAGTTAGCAGCCTTCCAAGCCTTGTGCTTTTAACGTACTGTGATAATTTTAAAGCGCGCCAGATTGTTTATAGGTAAAAAATATGCGTCAAGTGCCGTCGGGGTGCTGTCTCGAGAGTCGAACTCGATTTCTCTCTCTCTTCCCTTGCCCAGGCATCAATTAAATTTCCGAGTTAATAAACCATCTTGTGTGGAGAAATGACGCCGATGGCTGGGGCGGCGCGGCTGTGCTTAGGCGTGCCACCACGTTTCATATGGGGCATATGCTATGGGTGCATAACTCGTATTATGTTCCCCGTGCCCTAACCTGGCCTGATCTTGATCCAAAACAACTCACGCGTGACCCGTTGTTGGAGCAACCAGTCACTTTACAAACACACAGTATTAAGCGCGGGACCAACTTATCCCGTTAGTTGGTAGTCCGCCAAGGCGGAATATCGCAAATGGCAATGTGACACCCCATTTGATAGACAAATGATCCCGCTTCTGCTGTAGTTGCCAAGGTAAAAAAGATAACATCAGCAACTGCAGGTAAATTCGGTAATCATGTCAAACAACAGTGATTTACTCACCTTCGGTTAAAAACTGTTTGAGGATACCCTGTCGAAAGAAGCCCCATGACAACCTTAGACACGGCTGGTCAAAGGAAGCCTATAAAGAAAGAAATTAGAAATAATGACTAAAAAGAGCGAAGAGTAGCGAGGGCGAAGAGAACAGTGTGAGCAAAAGAAGTATGAAAGGTCTAAAAAATACGTTTAACCGAACCTACTTCAGATAGATTTGGCAGCAAGTCGCTCGGAGATGCAATGGGAAGAACGCCAAACACAGAATCACGCCGCCGTTGTGAGAGCGCCCATGCAAAGAATAACACGTAGCCAACGAGGAGAGTGATTCCATGAAGAATCTACATGAAGAAATAGTTAGCAGCAGATAAAGGCTTGTTTATCAGAACAGGGGAGGTATGCACTACGGTCAAGATACGTTATTCTAAAACTGAGATCCAAAGGCTCGTCCATTTCTATTCAAGGAGAACGCATGGTTCAATGGTTAGAGTACTGGACTTCTAATCAACAGGTCGCATTTTCGAGCTCCGGCTGGTGAACTACCTGGGTTTGGGTACGGCTGGCTATCAACGGCTAATAAGATAGAAACGTCCATGACCGTCTCTCTCGTCTTAGTCGGCAATATTTAGTTACCTATAATCCTAGCAGTTATGTGGCTGCTGGAGGGGTTCGAAGGTAAGCCCCAAGGCAAAGTGGAACCAGTGAGTTCCGTAACCGTCAAGGTTCATCCATCAATTGAGAGAGCTCGCGAATCAGAATAGTTCGATACGATCAAATTCCCTATTTCGTGGTCTACATTATGCGTTAAAATCACCTGCTATGGCGATTTAGTAGTCGCCAGCTCCCGCCTCGCAAGGCGGAACCGAGCATTCGGACACTATTTTGTCGATAATTCTGTATGCAGACCATTTTGTCGTTCAAAGTGTAAGTAGTAACCGAAAGCCAAGACGCAAGCTTCGCCGGCTTGCTGCTGTCTCGTCCTGTCAGCAGTCCATTAGTTCATCAGTGGATCCATCAGCGTTTTCTATGTTGTTCTCGTACAATTCGTGCTACTTAAGGCTTATTTATAACTTTTGGACTGAATTGGAACACTGACAGTCGTTCTTATTGGTTGACGTGAGTACACGTACCAAAATTATGCTGAGCAGTGTAGCGGGGGAGGGGGGCAAAAGGCAACATCCGTCCAATACCTATTAATTATCACCGACGGGTTGCCTGATCCTCTATCTATGTCGTGTGGTTTACACATAATATCTTCATAAGAACCAGTATCCCCTTATAGATCTAAAACCAAGGACCACAACACGGTTTAAAGAGCATTTTGCAGAATGTAAGAAGAAGCCCACCGCGTGAATGGTTGCAATTGTACACTCCAATCTGAATGAAACAAAATGTGTACAGAAAACAGCTGGGAAACTGGGAAATGCATTGCTGTTTCGGTGATTGTTATCTGGACTTTAATGCAGGTTCCTTCATAAGTTATAATCTATTTGCATCACAAATAACTGGCATCCTCTATAACGGGAACGATGCTCAAATGCCTCTAGCCGAACAGAGTCCCGAGAAATTATGAGCAGCTTAGACAGCAGAAATCTTATAAAACTGAGGTTTCATCTCCTAAAGATTGCCCTCGATTTTCTTCTACTTGGAGGTTAATTTGGAAGCGACCATGCTCAGGACTTTTGAACCTACATGCCGGTCTGCGTTTGAACAGGTAAATCATCTGATCGAGAATGATGGCTAATAACGGTAGACTAAACAAACAATCTTCTGTAAAGCAGCAGTGATTGTGATATTGCGTACCGCAGAAAGCCAAATTAACAGAACCAGCTTAGTACAGACCCGATTTCTCACCTGAGGGCAGGCCAGTAAGTAAAGGCCATAAGTCTTCGGCAAATAGACCACACTAACAACAATGCCAACTGCTCGCGCAATATTTGCAATAGCCTCGAGGGCTATTCGACTGCGCACAAATAGACCGAGTTGGCATACTAACCACAAGGGTTCCGTGGCCAGCTCAAATAGAGCAGAAAGAGAGTAAACAAGGGCTGATACAGTGTACTGACGAGCCAGCGCAGTCGGATCGATCGCAAGGACAGTCTTGTCCAGAGTCGGTGAAGGCCAAACAAAGAGCCAGACGGGCAGGAGAACGAAGATCATGAGGAAACCAGCGGGAACACTGAAAATTCACAAAATAAAACAGGAAGGTAAATGCCTGACTGAGACTTATGGAGGTGATTTGAGCTCTGTCACAGTCAGCATTGTCAACGTACGTCAGCCACATTACATTGAGGAGACCGTACCATAGGCGTTGGCGATCAGAGCGCAGGGATGGTCCGTCTCCAAAACTTTGCTGGGATAACAATTCACCACCTCTGCTGAGACAGGCTCTCCGGAAAGACTCGCGGGCGGCAAACACAAGGGTCGAGTAGTAGAGGCCCAAGCGAAAATTTATTATACCTAGCACGCCCGCGTCTAGATGACGAAAGGCCAATCCATTTAGAGCAAATGTGATAACACGGAGAAGGAGCTGGAGAGTGAAGGAGTACTGGGCCAATGCAATGCTCGATGAGAAAAGGTTACGTCGAGCTGAACCTGCAGTCGTTTGAGCGGCTTGCGAGGCGCCCGTATTTGGGACAGGAGAGGGCCTGAGCAAAGTAACGATAGGTTATATTTGGGTCACTTTAACAAGGTTATTGTAAAACAACCAGAAGAACTGCCCCTCGATTAAACCTTTATATTGGAGGAAACAGGTTTTTTAAAGTCCATAGCAAGAAACGGTCAGAGAAACACGTCGGAAAGTATTTCTAACGTACAATAAATCCGACCGACATTATCTTAATTTATCTAGTGGTATCCATTAAATTATCGAGAAATTAAATGTGTGACAAAAAAATAAAGAGTGAATACAGTAGTTTAAGATGGGACTATAATTTGGACAAATTCTGCTGTTAATGACACAAACGCGATCCATGCGCTGTTTTTTTTGAAGAGACTGGTGAAGCAGTCAGAAATGGAAGCTACAATTCTTACATACTGATGAACACACACAAAGGTAACACGTCAAGAACGTCCGACTAAAACTATAATAGCACACTAAGTTAAGAGGTTGCTGCTGTTGAGTACCGGTTCGATAGTACGAATAAGAAACGGAGACTACGGAGCCGATGTGAAGTACTCATTGCTTCTGCCTTTGCATATTTTACCATGAATTTGAAGATGATCCATGTGTTCAAAATGCGGTATCCTTTCTTCGTTTCATCTTCGTGCTTTTTAAACTCTGGACTAAAATTTAATTAAATAAGAGAATATTTTGTAACTAAATAGCATCAACAGCTAGCTCTATGTCCACCAGCATAGACTTGGCTGCCGATACCAGTTCAACACAGACTGCAAACACTTTTGTCGACACGTGTGTGACGGTCGAAATATTTTGTATTTACAGATAACATAATCATTTTCCCGTTATAGTACTAGATAGATTACAATTGTTATTGCACAACGAACCTGTCCATAAACTGCCTGAATTAATACCTGACGCGCCGGTTCGGCTAAGACGCTTAGTGTGAACAAAAGGCAGTCTGCTAATAACCCAAAGCATATAATAGGATTATGTCCCAAATATGGCGAAGAACGATGAGACGAGCGCCTGGATAACAAGGTAGGCGCAGGACATTTGAGGCAACATAATTGCAGGAGAGCCCATTTGCGGTGAAAACAAAAGTTATGTGGCCTACTATTTTAATCGGTTAAGGAGTTTATGGTTTTAGCATTTACTGTGATTGAGTAGAAGCAAGCTAAAAGCGTTTCGGAGAGGAGTTCCATAATACGCGGATAAAATACGCCCCGGTACGATAACCGTTTTAAAAATCTGTCATAAGCAAAGATGTGAGACCTTAAAATCAGTTCAAAATTTCATAGTAGCTAAGTTTCACAATAGGAAGGCAAACGAGATGCAAACCAAAAACAGACATATCGCTAAGGTTAAACGCCCAGTTTTAATAAATGTCACACCGATGGTGATCATACTCAGAAATACTTCAGTTTCGATCTTTCACAAACTTCCCAAAAGAAGAGTATTTATAACGATAGCAATAAGAATTAACGCCAGAAAATTCTTTAAAAAAGTAACATCGATAAGCAAATAAGTAACACTGAGTGGCATTAACCAATATCGGCGCAAGCGACAAAATATTCCCCAAACACTCGTGAACTTGCATACGAGGGGTGAAAGTGGCTAACATACACTGATTAGCCGTTTAAAGTGACCTTGGCTAACGTCAAATCACGAGTTTCTAGCATACGTATTTGCACATATTAATTGTATACGTATATACAAAATCATATGGTTGCTAAGAAACACTATGATTTATGCTGACAGTTTTTTAAGCTCAAGCTTGCGCTAATAATAAGGCTCATCCAGTCCTTTCCGGGACGGAACCTTGGAAAATCTTACATTTTGCGCGGAGCACAGCGCACTTCGGCTCAGCACTTGATAAATCGCCGCATAGAGTACTAACTTAAACAAACCATTAAACCCAACTCCAAATTAAACCCTTAACCGGACTATTACCAAAAACCTAACACTCTACCTAACCCTTAACCGAACATCCACATTTAATCAAATTCTAACTATAAACCTTAGGCAAACCCTAAACCAAACCCACCCTAAACGTTATCTCTAATACTGAACGAAACCCTAAAAGTAAACGTTGTAACGACCCAAGAAACTGAATGATTGTTTAAGTACACCAAGGTCGTCACTTTTGGCGCGGACCCAGGACGGAGATGATGTGATCGAGTATCAGTGAAGAAACCGGTGTCCTTTTCCCTCACAGCCGCTGACCCCTTCCCGCCGTCGCCGTCGCCGTTCGTATCACAGTCCCGTACTCAATGTCAGCACTCCCGTCCCGCCCCTGCAGTCGCC